TATATATATATATATTTATTTATTTTTTTATTTTATTTTATTGTTTGCTAAAAAGTTGTTTGATTTTTTTTTTATTTAATCAAAGTTAAACATTAATTGTAATCACAAGAAAATCCTACGGGTTGGATTGCTCGTGTGTCCACGGGAGAAATCCTATTTTAAATGGAAGGTGTGAGTTTGTCAAAAATAATTACTCATTTATTATTCACATATTTTATGAGAATCATTACTATCCTTTGTAAAAACATTACCAAATTTGAAACAAACAGAAGCTAAATATTTAGCTCAAAACTATTAGCAAGTGCTTGAGAGGCTGAGCTCATTGTGATCCTATTTATAATGGAAACATGCACTTTTCCAATGTTGATGGAGGAGAATAACGTGAATACAGTAAAAGTATTTATTTAGCTTGATATTTAAATTTAGACCGCCATTGACAAAAATGTGTGAACTGGAAGAGAGTACCAGCTAGGGTTATTTATAATTTTTAAAGCTAGCCAAACATGGGCTCTTTCTCCATTTAGGGAAATCACAATGTACATCTGATTCTTTGTTTTCTTGAATTTATCAAATTTTCGATTGAAGCAAGACGATAGCATTGAAAAAGTGGAGAAGAAAGAGGGTGCAGAATGTGCTAAGATAGGAAATATGACTAGGTCATAGATATTACTAAACTAATTATTGAAGAAGTATACTCTTATCTTGTATATGAACAGCCATACCCAAAGGTCTCAAGTGATTAAAAAGTTGTAAATTACAGAAAATGCATAATTAAAATTAATTATTAACTTTAATTTAATTTTTTTATCTACACCAAAAAGGGTCATGGCATTATTCTTTAAGAAATGATTATAGATTCAACATCCAATTAAGGAACATCAATATGATTCACTGCACATTTTTTTCACCAGTGCAATTATGCCATTACTGAACACGAAAAATAGGCTGAAATATATTTAACTTAATGGCTACTAAAAGACAACAAAAATTTCCTTTCTCATACTTATTTATCAAACATGTGCCAGCAAACACATACATTTATTTCAGAAAAGTGAAACTAAAAATTGTGTGCTAAGTAAATGAATTTCTTTTGTGCCACTTATACAAATGTGGTTTCTTATTGGTATATATCTATGAACAATTAGACAAACCTTAACTCTATATGATCAAATCAATTATTAATTGCATGAAAAATTGTGTTAGGCATAATCACACATGCCATATATACAATATCCGCCAGGCATGCATTTGTTATTACAAGAACCGCAGTGCCTTTTATCATACGAAAGATTCAAACATTCCCCTCCACAGCATACCTCAGTGATAGCACATTTCCTCTTGCAAGCTCCACAATTATCCTTATCGTATGCCAAGTCCATACACTTGTTGTTGCAACATGTCGCGTTTTTCCCTTCCATGCGACATATTTCGTCATCCTTGTGGCAATGATCAGCGGCTCTCGGGTTCTTTTCTTGCTGTGCAAGAAATTGCCTCACCAGGGTTGAGGCCATTGGTTTTCCATCATGCAACGTGAGTTTGATGTGCTTAAAAGCCAATTGATCATGATCACCTTGTGAACAAGTGATGTTTTGAATAGAGAATATTAGGGTTAAGGACATGATAGTGAAGATTAATTTGATCACCTTCATTATGGGACAGAAAAGAAAATTAAGATGGAGAAGATTATTGGATTTTTTAT